AGGGTGTACATAGCCATGGGGCGCCCGAGAAGTGGCCTTACCGCCAAAGCCCCCTTCTCTGACCCCCCATGAGACCTCGGCTTGCACCTGTCATGGTGGGGTTTGTTGAGACCCTGAAGTGACTGCTGCAGAAAGCTCTTCCGATATTTGGGCCTTGCACGAAGCGGAGGCCAGTCAGTAGTGAAACCATAGGCGGCGCAAATCCAAGACTCTGGCTTGCACCCTGACATATGACATGGCAGGCAGAGGAAGCTCTAGCCAGCGTGAAAGCCACTTATTCTCGAAACTGATCCTGAATGCTGCGCCCCTCTCAACTATCAACTAATTACATGTAGGAGATGCGCCACGCCGTTCGAGCTTCCGACATGGCCTCACTAGAGGCCCTGCCAGCTTTTGCTCCTTGCATTTGCAGCGGGGCTGATTGAGCTTCTCAGCCGCCTTTCTGGTTTTAACCTGAGGCAGCTTTGACAAGAGGCCGTCAGCTCAAGATGAACCAGCAGGCGCTTGTTGATGTTGATGATGGTCTTACTGAGTGTTAGTAGGGAACAGGGGAAGATAATCCCCGTATAATCCCTATATATCCCTATATCGTGTTAATATCCCTTTGTAGCTTATTCCCTTATTTCCTACTAACCCTAAACCCACATTGATTTCTTTATTCCCTTCTAACCACCAGTTAGTAGTTTTACTTCCAAAGCTGGCCAGATAGCGTCATGACAGCTTTGCTCAGAGTCCTGGAATGTTTGCTTGGTCTACTTGCAGCAGCGAGATACAGCGCTTAAGGCTTTAGGGTTCAGGGTTAAGGGTTGAGGGTTAAGGCAGCTAAACCCTAAACCCTCAGCCCTAAACCATCATTGCCTTTGGCGGGCAGGTCCTTCTGGATGCCCAAGCAGCGCTGGACAGCTTCACTGCTCAGACGGCGGGTTTCGATGAGCCAACCTGCGCAACTCACCAGCAGAATGGCCCCTGCCAGTGTTATTCTAGGGGACTATAATAGAGCCTATTAAAGGGGATGCCAGGAGTTATGGGGGTCATGAAGTGGGATACTGGAGTTGCTTTGCCAAGCATAGCGGCGACGTTT